ACATAATAAAAATGTTTTTCCTTTGGGCTATTATCTAGGCTATTATAAAGAAAATTAACTTACTTGAAATCGAAAAAAATCTGTTCAGAATGGCTGGCGTTAATGTGTTTGTAAATATAACAGTTTGGAAAAAGTAAAATTTAGGCTACTTCGTTATTTTTTGAGGAAATACGAGTAACTCACAGCTACTCAATGTAAATAAGGCTTGTACTCGAAAAAAAATTCATCATTTTTATCCGGGTGTAACTTTTTTATCCGTGGGTAAAAATTGATGAAAATCTGGGTATAACTAGTTTGGAGTGAATTGTCTACATGTGCAAAATTTCATAACAATCGGTTCAGTGGTTATTGAGATGTCATCGAAATAAGAAGAAAATCGCCGGAGAATTTTGCGCGCCGTCATGGAAAATCCGACTGCCACCATGAGATGGACCGGAAGACAACGGGGAATCACCCATACAACTGTGTATCTGGTGGTAAAATCGTTTAAGGAGTCCCAGACGACCAAGCGGCGGGCTGGACGTGGAAGAAAATCGAAGACAGCTGACCCTGTGAAGGCCCGGAAGGTGTTGGATTATTTCAAGCGTAATCCGAACCTTTCGATTCGCGACGCGGCTCTGAAGGCAAAGTGTTCCGCCTGGTTCGTTCAGCAAACCACGAAACGAGCTGGGCTTCGTGTATTCAAGGTGCGGAAGGTACCGAACCGGCGTGATCAACAAAACACGGCGGCCAAATCCCGCGCAAGGAAACCGATGTGTGTGGTAATGGATGACGAAACCTACATCAAGGCAGACGCAAAGTAGATACCGGGGCTGGAGTTCTACGTTTCCAAATCACGGTTTGATGTTCCGGAAGACATAAGGAAGAAGAAAGTGGACAAATTCGCCAAAAATTACTTGCTCTGGAAGGCCATATGCCAATGCGGTAAACTGAGTAAACCGTACATCACAATGGGTACCATCAATAGCGAAATTTACCGCACCGAGTGCCTCCAGAAACGTCTGTTGCCCTTCCTGCGGTCCCACGGAGGCGAGACATTATTTTGGCCGGACCTGGCATCATGCCATTACGTGCGATCGACGTTGGATTGGTACAAAGTTCGAAAATCGTCCAAGGTGTTGAAGAACGAGCTGGAGTTGAAGAAAGAATGGATGAAAGTGACCAAAAAGGTCGGCTCCACCATTGCACAAAATGTAATGACTAATGAGGGGTCTTAAGGGAAAGGTGCGGGCTTTCAACGATGGAAAGGAAACTGAATAAAGTAATTATGCCGAAACATTAGTTCAGTATTAGTTCATTCCCTGAAAATTTCAAGAAAATCCGACTTAAAATGAATTTTTGGCGAACACTTTTGTCTGGTGCATTTTTTTCGAGTACAGGCCTTATATTAGCTCAGAGTACAGCTGACTTGCCCCTAAGGCAGATCACTTGAAGTGCATTTATTTTAACAAAAAAATAAATAAATTCATTTTCTCAGTGCATTTTTTGCTGTGTGTAGCTTTAAGTGACACCTCCCACCAATACATGCATGTATACATAAAGGGTTTTGTCCTGTTTTGTTGTTCGCTTCGATTTCGCTCAAATCCACGCTCCTGGTTTGAGAAAATTATTCCAGAAGCTCCTCGACCGAGAACGCGGAAAAAATCCGTCGAAGTTTCCGGTGACAGCATAAGAAATCTCCACCGGAATCGTGCAGAGCCACTGAAAATGCGAGAAACTCCGTCGAAGCTCACTGGAACTTTCTTTGGCAGCACCAAAATCTCTCGGAACCCACGGCGACATATGATTACTCCATCGAAACTCCCCTCGAAAATTCAGATGCTGCCAACGGAGGGTCCCAGAGACTTTAGACAAAGTTTCCACGCATCATCGGTGAAAGAGGTTCTGCACGATACCAGTGAAGAGATTGGATGCTGCAGACGAAAGTTCCAGGGAATATCGACGGCGTTTTCTCACGTTATCGATGGACGAGGTTCTGCGTGATTTCGGTGATTTTGGAAGCTGCCAGCGGGAGTTTCTGGAAGTTCAAACGAATTTTTCTTGCCTTCTAGGTGGAGTAGGTTCTGCATGATTTCGAAGACTGCCAACGAAGGTTCTAGGAACTTTATCTTGTACTGATAAAGGGTAGCCACCAGGATTACGTTTGACTAAATACATTACATTGGAGCCACATTGAGTCTGTTGATGTTGACAAATAAATAAATTACAATTACATAAAGTATGGCCATTAAAAGATGCGAAATTTCGATGTCGTTTTCTTGCGATCTTGGTGGATGAGGTCCCATCCGGTTTCGGATGAGATTTATGATGCTGCCAGCGGAGGTTTAAGGAAATTTTAACGGAGTTTTCACACGTTCTCAGTGGAGGAGGTTCTGCACAATTTTGGTGAAGGTTTCTGATTCTGCCAGCGGATGTTCCAGATTCGTCGGAGTTTTCTCGCATTCACGGTGTATATGTACGGTATTTTCTCGGGTTTTTGTTTAGGTGAAGGAGCTTCCGTATGATTCCGGTGGAGATTTCCGATGCTGCCAACGGAGGTTCTACGGAATTTCGACGAAGTTGTCTCGCGTTCTCTGCGGAGCAGGTTTTACGTTATTTTGATATTAGCAGTGGAAATTCCGGAGGGAGCTTCTGCACGATTTCGTTGGAGATTTTCGCTGCCGGAGAAGGTTGCAAGGAGATTTTCATGAATTCTCTACTCCGAGTTTTCTTTTCCTGTTGGGGTTGTTTATCTTCGGCTCGATGCATGTATGTATGTATAGGTGTCACCGGAAAAGCGCATGCTTTGTTTTGATGTTCACATCCCACTGATGGGTTGATGCAAACGATGGAAATTAAATGCATTTGATTTAAATTAAATGCATATTCAATGTATATTCTAAAAGTGAGGCTTTCCTAGGAACCAACTGAGTCAACCAGCGACAGAATCATATTTTGTCCAACAATAAATAATATATGATCGTTGTAAAAATTACAATGTTCTACTTTAATTGCAAATTAATTTGAAACGAACACATTACCACCGGCTTCGGTAATTTGTACCGAAATCTGAACAGCTCGGTAACATTTGTGCAATTCAATTTAATTGTTTTAAAGCTACTTTAACTCTCCGAACACGATGTTTCCGGTAAAATGTATAACGGCAAATTGATAATGTTTGGGAAATCATTGGTCAGCAATTTATAGAAGATTTTAAATCTATGGATACTGAATAGATCTTTAAAGTGTGTAGTTAATTGCAAATGGTACCAATAGATTTGAAATTCGTCAATAAATGGCAGAGATATGATTTTTGAAACATTGCAATTTTGCCGTTACACATTTTACCGGAGGCATCGGGTTCGGAGTGTTAAAACGAAATATCCATTACAATTACAAGATTTGATCATTTGAACAAGATTTAACGAGCTTTGATATTATTTTTGAGCGGAATAGGCTCCAAAATGAATTTCAAAGTTTTACCGGACCTTCAGCTGTCGAGATTTCGGTAAAAACTACTGAGCACGACAATAAAAGATAAAAGTGCACCTTTACGTTGCTTCATAACGAATAAGGGCACCGAAGACAACAACGTAAACGTGCACTTTTATCAAACTTTTTAATAAGTGAAAACGCGCTTATTTGTCCAGCTGGGTCTCAATTGTATATTATTGATCGCTTAGGGCAACATAAGAGATGTGCAATGGGAAGCAATAAGAAATAAATCAATTTCTTCCCACTTTGAAGATGGCAAGATATTCATAAAGAGACACTGATTTCTTGATTTGCACCTGACTCTACAATTTAATGTTTTTTTAAATCTTTTTTTTTATATGGAGCTTTACATGGGTTTTCTTTTAAGGTAGAAACCAAAATTGTTTAATGTCATTCTTATTCATCTATTCTCTTTGCTTTTGTATCATTTTCGGTTGTATGCTTACTTTCCATAGTATGTGTGTATCACATTGCGTCAATCGTAACACAGAAACAACCTAGAAGAGACGCCGGAACGTCATGAAGTCGGTCGACCAAAGGAATGATTACAACATGTACCTATCAAGCATCTCCTTCAGAGTTGAAATATTTTCAAGTTCATCAAATCGAGAGATCTATACAAAATTTACGATTGACGACAGTGGTCAGCAGTAATAATAGCAACATCAGCAATCTCATTCGGTTCTGTCCACAACAAGTGCACACCAACATTTGGAACTATGAAGAATGTCACACACAATCTGACAAACAATCATCGCCAAGTTGTGTAAGTACTGTGCGCGTATGTGAAACAGTAGGGAAATAAACAAACTGGATGATGGATTGAGTGGTTTAAAATTAGAACTTCGACCGAGAGTTCAGCAGCCCAGCCGACCAGCGAACGCAGTGAAGAAAATGGTGCGTGAAATGAATATTGTTGTTTACCTACATACAGTTGAGCGAGAGAAGGAAAAGAGAAAGCTAGCACAAATGGCCTGACGCTCTTAATTTTATGGCTTTATGTGAATGTTGTGGTTCTCTTTTATTTGTTATTTATTATATGCTGTTGATTTGAAATTAAGACTTTTTTGCGTGTTGTTTTATCTTCGTTGAGCGCTAAGTAGAATGAGCTACCTTTATAATGCAGGCATGAATTCGATTATTAAAAACAATAGTTTTTACGACAGTATTGACAAACAAAACTGATTAATGTTCCGAAATGGTAAATATGTTATGTAATCAAGCCGCTCAACATTCGAAACAAGACGCATGTGGTACAGTATAAAGGTTTCGATTTCGGAAGATCCATGTAAAGCGCACCATAAATAGGCATCCGCCATTATGTTGAATAGGCGATGTAAATGTAAATGTGACGCATATGGGTTGCTACTCGCTCCGTCGCTCACTAAGAGTATGGCTTGCGGGCGGCCTTCATCGTCACCAGCCAGAAGAAACGACAAGACATCAACCATGTCCAAGAATTACAAGATGGCCTTACAAGCTAATTATTAGTTTGTATGTAATGCATTGTCGGTGTAGGTACTTACTTGATGGCCCGGCAGGTGAAGAAGACGATGCGCTTCAGTTTCTTGTTGTAGAAGAAATAGTTGAACGACCATAGACAGCCCGGCTCTCCGAATGGATCCGAGTTCAGATCTGGATTGTAGCTGTAGATATCGCAGTCGTTGAGGGAAATCTCATCCTCGATCGTGGACCAGAGTGCCGAGCGGATCTTGTGGTACTGCTCGCCGGCTACCGCCGATAAATTGCCCTCGATCGAGTTGAGAACCCACTGAAGCGAAGGTTCCTTGCTGAATTCATGACTCTGTAATCGAAAGAAATAACGGAAAACACTTCATTAGCATATAATTGCAAAGCTAGAGGGAGCGCTAGATGAGTTTTTCATTTAAATTGAACCGGTTGGAGAAAACATTATTTCTGCGATCATCAGCTGATCAGCGTGAGTCAAGCAAACTGGTTCAGGGATCTCAGACGCCGATTTCACACTACCTTTGTGCATCGAAACCGAACATACCTACATATAGATGAAATTTACCACAAAAGACCTCACGAAAGAGCACACACAAAAAAAAATCAAGCTTTTCATTTGGTTGAAAGTGTGTTTTAGTTGTTGTTGTTGTTGTATTGTTGCATTCGCGTATACAAAACCGTGAACCAACAGCGTATTTTGATGGTTGTAGCCTCATTTACGGGCGTGTGCAGGTTGGCGTATTTCTAGACTAACATTTGAAAGGGGCGGAAGAGCCAAAATGTAAACAAACCATATTTTGCCACATATAGAGAGAATAGTTCACAAACTACTCGATAAATACGAAAAAGTAGAAGAAAATATCATTCAAATTATCAAAATCGTTTCTTCTTACAATGTCATGGCGTATTTCCAACTTTCAAATCTATGATAAATCTGGTTGTTACGCCTTGCACCAGAACTACGAATTATATGGTTTTAATATGAATCCTGATGAATGTGGGCGTCTTAGTGGAATACCTGTATAATGAGAGAGAGAAGGATTAGTATTTTCCATTTAATTCCACTACTTTATTTGCTTATCCTTGACAGATACGCGTATTTCGTCTACAATGTGCAGACTTCTTCAGTGTCTTGTACTAATACCAGTCGAGTATTAGTACAAGACACTGAAGAAGTCTGCACATTGTAGACGAAATACGCGTATCTGTCAAGGATAAGCAAATAAAGTAGTGGAATTAAATGGAAAATACTAATCCTTCTCTCTCTGGTTTTAATATGCCAAATGTTTTGATTCTGTAGTATCTAGTCACGCCCGATTCATTTGAAATGCATCCGATTGATAGTTCACGTTTAAACAACGAACAAAAAGCAGACCAAAAAATCTCCGGGCGTAATTCCACTATCACAAAATTTGCGAACGTAGAACCAAGGCGGAACAACAAACAAAAAATCCCGAGGGTGTACTTCCACGGCGTATCACCAGTGTTGGCAGTTCAAAGGGTGGAAGATCTGGGGGGTAACAACATGTATGAAATTATCAGGGCGTATGATGTTTTCTTCTCAATTTCACGACAAAGAAAACTTTTTTTGAGTTTTTAGTGATGCACGATGATAGATTACACTATTAACTATATGTCAAGCTTATAAAATCAACCAGAAAATGGAAAGTCGTGAAATAGGATTAATTTTTAGGTCAACAAAATTCAGAAGCGATTTTCTCGATATGGTCATTTTGGAATTACGCCCTTTTCAAATGTAAGTCTAGATTTAACGTGCCACTGTTAAGACCGGAAAAAGTGGCCATCGTGTTAGGTGAACGTAATTGGGTAAGATGCAACCCCCGTGAGCAGAGTCGAACGATTCACGTAACAATTAAATCGATGAAAGCATGACTTCAAACAGAAAAAAAAACGAAAAAAAGAGAAATCTTGATAGTGTTTTCATGGGAATATTTGATAGGGTAAATGACGGTTCCGACATCCGTTGACTGTTTTCGGCAACCTAACTTGGAAAATTAATTTAACTGTAATTACAAAACACTTCGCTGAATGCATTTAAACGATTCCTTAGTCGTTCAGATTCAATCTGACTACATTTTGATGACTGAGTAAACCTGTTATGCCAGGTATTTCTTTAAATTAAATTAAATGGAACAGCTGGTTCAAAAGCAGTTCAAATGAACCTATGAAGAGTGATTCAGTACAATCTCAAATTAAATAAATCGTTCGATACATTTGAATGCAAATGAATTTTAAACATGGTTAAGCGCCAGGTAATCTGTTCAAGCAGTAACCGGGATGTTACTATGATTGATAGCGATGTGTTAAGGAAACTGCAACCATCTCTATGTGAATCTACAAAAAAGGCTTGCTTAATCGCTTAAATTTTTCAGTAAGTTCATGATCCGTTTCTTACCTCGATATACTGCATGTGTTTAGACAACAATACTAGATAGAGCTGGAATTAGGTCGTAACAGCTTTTGTAAACAATAACTTCTCTCGATAATTTCTCGGAAGTCATGGCTCTCCCTGGCAAAACGACGTCACCTTCGAGTAGAGGAAGACTTCTCCTACCCGATGGATATGTTGGTTTGTGTAGGCTTGCCTTGAATTCCGAGAAATCAACAAGAGAAGTCATTGTTTACAAAAGGCTGTTACGCCCTTATTCCAGCTCCAGCTAGAATAGTCCGATGAAGAGAATAATAAATAAATAAATAAATAAAATGTTACGAGAAGAGGACTTTGGCATGGCAATTTTAGAAATTATTTTCTTACTGTTTCCGAACTCAACGTCTGGAGTAAAAATTTACCCAGTAGGAGAACTGGGTAAATTTATGCCCCCATCGTTTCATACATATGAAACATTTGTCTGTAATCACATTATATTTTTTTATTCCTCGAGCTCAATTTGCGGTCTTCCGAAACTCGTCGCAATTCCTCAGCCGATGATCCGTACGATGACAAACGTGACAAGGCGATCTCTTTTTTTTTTTTTTTTTTTACTCTTTATTTGTTCCAAATTCAAAATAAATTACATTTCATTTTTAACCTAGGTGCTCCAGTTACTACAGTAACTTACCAGCCTTAATTGTTATGATATATATCTAAGTGTTTTTACATTGTTCCTGTCTTGGCAATTCAGTATTTTAAACAGGTTTTTTGAACCTGCATGTCAGTATAACAATTGATAGCTTAAAACTTAATAACTAAAACTAAATAACTAAAACTAAATCTTATCTAAGTATAAAGGGAATTAATCGTTGCAATTGAGGATTGTAACGATTTTTGCCGGAAATTATTAATTATTTTGTTGGACATTTGTGCTAAAGTCTCAACATTCAAAATTCTATGTACTTCGGTAGTACTGCACCAGGGAGGCAACTTCAAAATCATCTTCAGAATTTTGTTCTGAATCCTTTGAAGTGCTTTTTTCCTGGTAGTGCAACAACTAGACCATATTGGCACAGCGTAAAGCATGGCCGGTCTAAAAACTTGTTTAAATATTAGAAGTTTATTCGTCAGGCAAAGTTGGGATTTCCTGTTTATAAGAGGATACAAACATTTTATATATTTGTTACATTTGGCTTGAATGCCCTCAATGTGATCTTTAAAAGTTAATTTTTGGTCAAGTATTAATCCAAGATATTTCACTTGGTTTGACCAGGAAATTGGAACTCCGTTCATAGTGACTATGTGACTACTACTAGGTTTCAAAAAGGAAGCCCTGGGCTTATGTGGAAATATTATAAGTTGAGTTTTGGAAGCGTTGGGAGAAATCTTCCATTTTTGTAAATAAGAAGAGAAAATATCTAAACTTTTCTGAAGTCTGCTGCAAATAACACGAAGACTTCTTCCTTTAGCGGAAATGCCTGTGTCATCAGCGAACAAAGATTTGTGGCAACCCTGAGGCAAATCAGGGAGGTCCGAAGTGAAAATGTTATACAATATAGGCCCAAGAATGCTACCCTGAGGAACTCCTGCTCTAACAGGTAGTCGATTAGATTTGGAATTTTGATAATTTACCTGCAGAGTTCTGTCAGTTAAATAATTTTATAATTTCATAATGTAAAGTGGAAAATTAAACTTTTTCAATTTAGCAATCAAACCTTCATGCCAAACACTGTCGAATGCTTTTTCTATGTCTAGAAGAGCAACTCCAGTTGAGTGGCCTTCAGATTTGTTTGAACGAATTAAATTGGTAACTCTCAAGAGTTGATGAGTAGTTGAATGCCCATGGCGAAATCCAAACTGCTCATCTGCAAAAATTGAGTTCGTATTGATGTGAAGCATCATTCTATTCAAAATTATTTTTTCAAAAAGTTTACTTATTGAAGAAAGCAAACTTATTGGACGGTAGCTAGAAGCTTCAGCTGGATTTTTATCCGGCTTCAAAATTGGAACAACTTTTGCATTTTTTCATTTATCAGGAAAGTATGCCAAATGGAAACATCTGTTAAATAATTTTACCAGGAAAGACAAGGTACTCTCTGGGAGTTTTTTGATGAGGATATAGAAAATTCCATCATCACCTGGAGCTTTCATATTTTGAAATTTTTTAGTTATAGACCTTACTTCGTCCAAATCAGTCCCCCACGAATCATCAAAAATATTTTCCCGAGAGAAAATATTCAGAAAATCCCGAGCAACCTGATTCTCAATAGGACTAGTAAGACCCAAACTGAAATTATGGCAACTCTCGAATTGCTTAGCAAGTTTCTGAGCTTTTTCCAAATTTGTGATCAAAATTTTACCACCTTCTTTAAGCGCTGGAATTGGCTTTTGAGGTTTTTTCAAAATTTTTGTGAGTTTCCAAAAGGGTTTGGAACTCGGGTCTAATTTAGAAACATTATTTTCAAAAGTTTTGTTCCTCAGGGCAGAGAATCGCTTTTTAATTTGTTTTTGCAAATCCCGCCAGATAACTTTCATGGCAGGATCGCGTGTTCTTTGAAATTGTCTCCTACGGACATTTTTAAGACGGATCAAGAGCTGAAGATCATCGTCTATTATAATTGAATCGAATTTAACCTCGCATTTTGGTACTGAGGCAGCTCTTGCTTCAACTATAGAAGTAGTCAGAGATTCAAGAGCATAATTAATTTCATCTTTGGTTTGCAAAGGAATGTTTGGATCGAAGTTATATTCCATAAATGTTCGATATTGCTCCCAATCAGCCCTATGGTAATTGAAAGTAAAGCTGTTGGGATTAGAAATTATTTCTTGGGATATTTCAAAAGTTACTGGAAGGTGATCAGAACCGAAGTCAGCATGGGTAACCAATTGGCTACAAAGATGACATGAATCAGTTAAGACCAAATCAATAGTTGAGGGATTTC